ATTTTATCTTCAACTTTAAGATTATCTCGTCATCATATTGACGTTAAAAACTCAACATTTGTTAGTCATCAATGGGTCCTGTTATTTTTTTAATATTTTTATTAAATTAAAGGTCATTTTTTACCTCTCAACTCAACATATTTTATATAAAAAGTTACTAAAAAAATATAATGTGAGACCGTAAAGGTCAACTAATAGTCAAAAAAAGATCAGGTATATAGAGAAAATTTTTAAAGTTAACAAATAGAATTGACTCATACTTAAATGTAAGAACATTTGCTACCCTTTATACATAGTTTAAAGATAAAAATGATTTTTAATCCAAAAAGTAATTCATAAGTTATTCTCTTTATGTAACTTTCTTCAAACATGGTAACTTTTAATGAGACAGGCATGCTATTGATTAAAATGAACCAACCTCCCATAACATGACAAATTATTATTAAAATCCTCAATGAAAAAAAAAAAAGCTTATTTTAATATTCCATCGTGTCTTGAGGATCCAAACAAAAAGGACACCTTTGAACTATACGAAATGTCATGGGTTTTTTTTGGGTGACTTTTGTCATGGTTTTCGAATAAATCCAAATTATTTGCCGCAAAAATAGAATAGAATAATTAGAAATAGGGGTAATTGAAGTGGTCACATGCAATATTTGCCATATGGGCCATGGAAATGGCTGCCGATGGTGTGAGACCGACGACCACATGGTATTATTAAATTAAATATATTATAGATTGACTCTACTTGTTTCCTTTGTGGTCACGTATACGCTATTACCATGGCTTGGACATTCATACCTACGAACTGTACAAGTTCTATTTCTATATTAATTCATGTGGGCCATGTTGTGTTACTGAATTTTGCACCAACAATCTTTGCATTTAAGGTTACAATGTACTTCTCATTTGTTCATTTGTTGTATAATACTTCATATGTCCCAATTAATAAAATATTTTTAAATAAAAATATGTACATCAATAAAGCTTAATAAATATACTTTATCATTTTACTATTTCAATTAAAAAACTTTGATTACACCCTAAATTAAATGATATTTTTTTAAAGGACTTGTTAATTATAATATCTTTTTTTTGTTAAAATATCTTATATTTTTTAATACGAATGTTTAAAAAAAAATTCTTATAATAGTGAATGAGGGAGTGCATATATATTGTCATAATAATTATATTAATTCATTTAATATATGCATACGTATATAAGAAATAGTGACATAACTTGATTGTCCAATTTTAATTTTTAATGAGATATACTAAAAAAAAGCATAAATCTAACTTCAAATTTTTCTTTGTGCTAATTTGAGTTAGATTATACAGGGAGTAGTAGAAGTGAGGGGAAGACTTTGTATTAATCGAGAATTATTATTCAAGTGGGAAAATAATTAACATTTTCTAATAAAACTTTCTATAGGAGCCATTAATTTTTTTAAAACAAAGGAAAAAATTTATTTAACCATCCTTTCCTCCCCACTTTTAAATTTCTTTTCTTTAATTATTTTCTCAACCTTTCATGACAATTATTTTCCCTGCCGCCCTCCATGGATACCTTAATTTTACTTGTTCAAGATATTGCACACACGAGGGATTATGATTGTGTCAAAATAAAAATTCAAGAACATTTGGGCATAGATTTTTCAGTTGAGAACTGGTAAAACAACTTTGGCGCAAGGTGCACTCTGTCTCTGCGAACTTTGGTTTCCCTTGATTAGAGTGATAAAAATACTTTTATATTACTTATACATGTTTGATTCAATTAATTAAGAGAGTTGAATAAAAATTAGGGCTTTATATTAGTCTAGATGGAGGATTGGTACAATTAATTTTCAAAATGACGGTGATAAAATTAAAATATATGTATGTATGTATATATATATAAATTTTTTTAATATAATGTTTATTATACAAGGAAGACTTGAATATTTAATATTCATTTGTCTAATCAAATCAAACCAAGTATATTTTAAAATATTAAAAATAAGAATTTATCATGGAATAAATAATATATAAAAAATTTACATATCTTAATTTAATTAAAAATAAATACTTTAAGTATTTAAAATTTCACCTGTTCAATACTACTATTTTTTTGATTGTACTTGTATATTTTTATTAGAGACAATTATATTTGAGACATGTTTTAAAATTCATAGCTGATTTTTCATATTGTTAGGGATTGATTTTTTCTGCTAGCCCAAATCATGTAGGCAAAACTATTACTCCTTTAATTATATTTATAGTCATTTTTAAAAAGAAAATTTTAAAATTTATTAAATTTATCTAAAAATTTAATAAGTTATTAATTTTATTTCTATTAAATATATATATTTTAATAATATATTTTTTCTTTTCAATATTTAATGAACGATAAAAAAAATTTATGATAAAAATTTATTGATATGACTTATAAATAGAACAAAAAAACTTCTTTCTTTGTTTTATAAGAACTATAGGGAATATTTAATTAATAATACATTTTTTTCAAAAATAAATATTGTTTCAAAAACTTAATTGAAGTTTTTTATTTTACAAATAAAAGTAAAAACTACCTCTTTTTATTCATTTTTTAAATAAAAAAAGGAAACAAAGAAGCTAGAGAGATATTGTCTTTATTGCGAGCAATTTCTTAATATTTGATATCATTTGTGCTAACCAGCTTATGATTATCGATAACATCAGTTCTTGAAGCTGTCAAATAATAATGATCGTGAAGTTGGTACTCGGCAGAAAATAGTTGGAATCACATGAGTGATGACAAAACAGTTACATTTAAATTTAATCAATTTTATGAAGTTTGACTCATTAATAAATCTCCTGAGAGAATTCAAGAACATTGTTGCGCTAATAAAACTTAGTACACCTCTAAGTCAAATCGTGTTACATCATCCTTCATTTTTTTATATGAGGATGCATAATTCTTTATTTTTATAATTCACATTCTAAATAGTTCGAGTTTAGCCTTCAATAGATATTTCAAGAAATAAATTTTTTTTTTCTCATTTGATGTTGGTGAAAAAAGAAGAAGCAAACTCAATATTTAAAACCCACAAAGTCAATTTTAATTAATTATAAAGTATAATATCTTTCTTAAATGACAACTATAATCAGTCAATATTCAATACTAAGATGTGAGTCTCACTATAATTTATTCTTTTTACCAAATTGATAATTGATTTCGTCTCAATTCAAATATTATATTACGGCAAACGCGTTTACTTATCTATAAAGTTTCTTTAAGTGAATGTATTTGCAATCCTTATAATTATCATTGTTTTTTTTTTTTGCACAATTATAATTATCATTGTTAAGTGATATTTGTGTTCACTTTACATGATTCAAAAAAAAAAAAAAAAAAATCACATCCAATCTTCTCTCAAAAAAATTAATTACAGATAAGGATTAATGCGGAACGGATTATTGTTAAAATAAAAACATGATTTATTTTTTTTAATGGGACTTATTATTAATTCTTATTTGTGATAAATTTTTTTGGGAGGGAGTTTGATGTAATTCTCTTAAAAAAATATTAGAATAAGTATTTTTTTGTTAATTGTTGGATTCTTAATATTCAATCTCAAACCTCAATTACAATTTTATATTAACGAAGATGAAGATAGATGTTCCTTTATATTCATTCTCTCGCCTTTAATTGTCTTATAGTCGGAAAATTGAATAAATTTATTACATTTTTATTAAACAAATTCAGATAAATTTGTTAATATTTTTGTTACAAAAATTTGTTAATTAAAATATATTTTTAACAATTAATTAAACTGTTAAAAACTTTAAGTCATATAAATGAACAATTTTTCATTTTTAAAAATTTCATAAAATTTTTAAATTTAATTTTTTTGCACAAAAAATTTCTTATATATGTACGATCAATTTATTATTCTATGAATTAATTATGTCATGGTGATAAATTTCATTCGTGCACACGTAACGTAACCTTCTTTGGTTCTGAATTTAGTCTAAATAATTTATTTGAACATCAAATTATTATTATTTATATATAATTTAAAATTTAAAGAGATTATAATAGCAGCAATATAATGATAAACAAACATATATGATTTTTGTTTATATAAAAAACTCACAAGTGTTTGACTTTGAATTTTACTCACATACACTCCCTTCTTAGTTTCTTACCATCTCCTTATAATATGATTTGATATTATATATGTAGATGTAGATAAATTGATGATTGTGAATAAAATATTGAAATGGAAACAAAACTAATGTGGAAAAAATGCCCGTGCAAGGAGGATCATGGCTTCTTCATTCATGAATCACAAGGCTTCTTCACATCCTTTGATTCTATTTCCATTTTTCAGCTCGAAACCATCAATGCACTCTCTCGTGTCCTTTTCCTCGTTCAACTCACAAACCTTCATTTTCTCTTTCTCCATCTCTCTTTCTCTTTCTCTTCCCCACACGAGTGAGACAGATTCAAAAACTCTGACCAGTGAACAGAAACACCTCCTCTCCACCTCCATCTGGAATTCCTCAAGAATTCGATTTTGACTTTTTGAAGTTGCAGGCTAGCTAGCTCCTCTTAACCCTTTCATCATCACACTGCAATATTAAAGCATAAACAAGTCACCAACCAGGAAAGTTCGGTACAGTTTTTTTCTAGCCGACCAAGCAGCAAGCTCCGGAAATTCCCCTCTGAGAAGCAGACCAGGTATGAACATATATATCTATCTTGCATTAATGTCACTGGGAACAAAGGTATTTATTTTCTGTCCTGAAACTTTTGTTTTATAACTGATAATAATATTGACGACTCAATAGAAATACTTGTGCTTCTGAAAACGCGCTTTCCTCCCTACTTCCTTTGGACAATTGGCTTTCAAGTCGTCGTTCTCACACAAATTTCACGGCTCTGCCTTAGAATTTTCCTACCCTCCGAACACACATTTTGGCCTTCGGAGTTCACATTATGGTTAATTTATATCTCTATCTTCATTCATCTTCAGTCAACTTTAACTTTTGGTTTTGGATATAGAGTTTTTGCCTTCTGAGCTTCGAGACAATTCCTGATTGATTTTATTTACTCCCCATTTTTTTCGTCTGCCTGTTTATTTCTGGGAAATTTCTGTACATAAGGAATTGAGAGTTTGAGACCCCCCTTGCTCTTTCCCCAGTTTAGAATTTTCCGAAGTTTTCTTCTTCTTCATCGAGATTTCTACTGAAGTTTGCAAGGTGTTTGATGTTAGGATTTTCTCTGGGTCCAAGAGAAGATACCATCACGATGGCTTTGAAGGTTTCTCTTGTTCTGGTTCTAATTGTAATGTGTTCCTGCGCTGTGGATGCGATTTCTGGGAATAACAACCAGAACTGTCTCAACAAAAATGGCTCTTCTCTCGCTGCCATCAAAATGCCTGATCATCCAAACATCAATACTGTGTCTTCTTCTGCAGATAGTGACTGTAGCTTCTCAAACTCCGAGAAATTTGAGCATTCAGGAGTAACCACATCAGATGAAGATGCTGATGACAGTTATGTAGCAAAACGACTCAAGCAATTGCTAAAGCTCAATCTGAAACGCCGACCGGTGATGGTGAATGAAGATGCTGAACCAAGAAAATCTATGATTGATTTCACAGTTCGGGATTTAACCAGAATCCAGACCCTTCATAGAAGGGTCATAGAGAAGAAGAATCAAAACACTGTTTCAAGGCTGCAGAAAATACAGCCCAAATCAAAGCACCAACTGTATGAGCAGGTTGTTACTCCGGCACCGGCACCGGCACCGGCACCGGCATATTTTGCAAATGAGCATCCAGGCCGGCTTGTGGCAACATTGGAATCAGGGGCCAGTTTTGGGTCTGGAGAGTACTTCATGGATGTGTTTGTGGGCACACCTCCTAAGCATTTCTCTTTGATACTTGATACGGGTAGCGATCTTAATTGGATTCAATGCGTTCCTTGTTATGTTTGTTTTGAGCAAAGTGGACCTCACTATGATCCTAAAGATTCCAGTTCCTTCAAGAACATAAGCTGCCATGATCAACGGTGCCAATTAGTGTCATCCCCAGATCCACCTCAGGCTTGCAAGGCTGAGAACCAGACCTGCCCTTACTTCTACTGGTATGGAGATAGCTCCAATACAACTGGGGATTTTGCACTTGAGACTTTTACAGTTAATCTCACAGCATCTTCAGGGAAGTCTGAGTTCAGGCGTGTGGAGGATGTAATGTTTGGCTGTGGACATTGGAATAGAGGTCTCTTCCATGGAGCTGCGGGTTTGCTAGGATTAGGAAGAGGGCCATTGTCATTTGCTTCTCAGCTTCAATCTCTTTATGGCCACTCCTTTTCCTATTGTCTTGTGGATAGAAACAGTAACATTAGCAGCAAACTGATATTTGGAGAAGACAAGAAACTTCTCAGAAACCCAAACTTGAATTTCACTTCATTTGTGGGTGGGAAAGAAAACCCAGTTGATACATTTTACTATGTGCAGATCAAATCTGTCATTGTCGGTGGTGAAGTACTGAATATACCAAAGGAAACTTGGCTTGCATCTGCAGGTGGTGGTGGAGGAACCATCATTGATTCTGGCACTACTCTGACTTATTTTGCAGAGCCTGCTTATGAGATCATCAAAGAGGCTTTCATGAAGAAGATCAAGGGCTACCTTATGATTGAAGATGGCCATCTTCCATTAAAGCCATGTTATAATGTTTCTGGGTTTGAAGCTATTGAGCTACCTAATTTTGGGATCATGTTTGCAGACGGAGCTGTTTGGGATTTCCCAGCGGAAAATTACTTCATTGAGATTGAACCAGGTAGTGTTGTTTGTTTGGCAATTCTGGGCACTCCTCATTCAGCTCTCTCCATAATTGGAAACTATCAGCAGCAGAACTTTCACATCCTCTACGATCTCAAGAATTCCAGACTCGGATATGCACCAGTCAATTGCGCTGATTCTTAGTAAACATTGAAGATTTAAGTGAACGTGATTGGTTGGTATCACTTGAGGTGAAAACAAGAGAGAGAAAGAGATCTAGATGTGGGACCTACCTAATGAGATAGAGGTGGGTTCCACTTCTACCTTTCTCTCATTTTATTTTACTGGAGTCCAGAAGTGGCAACTTTTGCTAGTGATCTGAACTCAAAATTTAAGAGGCGTGAATTTTTAGATTTTTTTTTTTCCTGATAGAAAGTGATATATATATATATATATATATATGTGCAATGAAAGAACAGGCAATGTATTGTTTTTTCCCCAGGTGATTGTAGAAGTAAGCTTCAGGTGATTGCAGAAAAAAGGTCATGAACTACTTACTAGTGATTTCATTGTCATGCAGAAGAAAAGCATTTTGCTATACTTTGAAGTGTATATTCTGTCAAAAAAGAAGTATGTGTCGTGATTAGGTTGGCATGGGAGTGTTAAAAGAGTGCGACAAGCAGGGGGGAAAAACAAAGAAAGAAAGATGAAAGCCAGATGTCGCTCTGACTTGTGAATAGTAGTTGAGGGGAAAAATCTTGTGAAGGTTATGTATAATATATGTAGTTTTGTTATTAATTTTTATTTAAAGAAATAATACAGATTATGACAATAAAAAAATGGCTTGTGTGTAATAGAGAGTTATTTATTATTCAAAATAAAAAAATAAAACCGAAGTATAAAAAATATTTTTCAGATTGAGCAGCAGATCCAAATTCCTTTGACAATTTAATGAAACTTCATAAATCATAAATCATAAATCATAATATTAAAGATTGTTTTTTAATGATCATAATCAATTAATTAATTAGCCATAATTTATTAATTTCTATTTTTAACAAATATATTAGTATTTGTCTATTCAATTAATTCAAATGATCCAAACTTTTTTTCCCGATATTTTTTAACCCAATACCCAACCAACAATATTTCAATCACGCCTTTGCTTGAGCCACAAGTTTGCGTTGCCAAGTTTGCAATGATCTAATCTTTGTAAATCTACTTTATTATAGAATTTGATCATCGGCTTCATCGCGTTTGTTTATATTATATTTATGTAACACTTGCAAAATATTTTTATGCCGTGGAAAAATGTATCAGTTGTAATATTACTGTTAAAAATTAATTTTTTTAATTATTTTGATTCAAAAAAGTCGAAACAACTTTCTTATCTAGAAAAAGGATTTAAAAAAGAATTGAAAGAATGATAGTTAGATCTCAAATGAATGAATTAAAGATAGTTAGATTTTTAATAAAATTTTTTACAAATAAACTATACATATCAATTTAAATAATTGCAAACAGAAATTTTTATTATAATCTAAAAATTATATTTAATATTTAAATATTTATTTATAATTGAAACTCTAAGATTTACAATAATTTAAATTAATATTTTTAATTTATTTTTTTAAAACAAGTCATCAAGAATTTAACAGATATTAATTTACTATTTTCGAATCTAACCATTATTTATTCTCTCAAAAGAATGTGGGTGTGTGGATTGATATATATGCGCATTGCATGCCGTGTGCAGGAGTGTGTCAGTGTGAGAATTCAGCATTGCATGTATGTTTGATAGAAAAAAGGAAGAGAAAATCTGTTTTTTTTTTTTAAATTAGGCCACTAACAAACTATGTATGAAAATCACGTCATATCTAAAATCATAATGTTTTTGCATTCTAATAGAAGATCATTGTATATCACACTATGAAAGTTGTCACTATAGACTTGATGAGAAAGAGGATTTGCACATTTATTTACTTATTTAATAATATGATTAAAAGTGATTTTAAAAAAATATTGACTTGTAGTAAAATAAGTCAAATTACAATGTTAACTTATACTCCATCCAATCTTTGTTATAAAGCATATCAAATTATCTCATTGAAATTAATAAGCGTTGTTAAATTATTAACTAATATAAAAATAGAATAAACTTCTAGTTTTATTATTATTTAAATAAAAATTTTTAAATTTACATTACATTCTCTCTTATAATTAATGAGTTAAATATAAGTAATATTAAAAAAACATAATCAATATCCTATCAAGTGAATTATATTAAAAGTCAGAGAATTTTTTTAAAAGATACTATATAATAGGAATAGGAGGGAGTGTTATTGATGTTAGTGCATTCATAACAATTATTAAATTTAAAATTTTATCATGTAAGCGATTTCATGAAAATCATATTCAAACATGAGATTTGTTTGTATGAAATGAACCATATTTAATAATAACTAAACCTAGGTTGATTAGGTCTGATGGGATGATGGATCTAGGTTTGCCCTCTAATTTAAATAATGAAATAAAAATATCACAAAAGTTCGTGGATGGGGAAATAGAACCAAACATCATCTGGCAAAAAGTCAAAAAGTAATATATGACCAATATAAAATTAATTTAACCATTAAAGTTAAAATTTTATTAGATATCAGTATCACAATTTTTTGTATTTCATTTTATATTTTCATATGTTATTCCTATGGAATAATTTTTTTATTGTTTTATCTATTTTTTGGTACATTTTTTAATAAAAATACAATTATCAATTTATAAATATTCAAGAATTGTAATTGTTTTTTTACCAACATAAAGAATACACTATTTTTGCGGGCCATTGTAGTGGGCTGTGGTTTTAAATGCTTCGACCAAACAACTCACTACACTTATTACCAAAAAAAAAAAAAAACTCACTACACTATGCTAAGATTGAACTATTAATATAACTAAAATCAAATTGTCCATACAAATAAAAAGAGCTGTGCTCTCTGTCTTCATGTATAAAAAATTTCTTTTTATTTCTAAACATAAAGAATTATTTATATTTTTTTAAATGAGTGGATTATTATATTCTTATTAAATTTAAAAAAAATAAGTATTCTCATTAATTTATTTTAAAAAAGATATTTATTTTTTATTTATAATAATTAAATATAAAATTAAAATTTTATTATGTTTTTAATTAAATAATTAATTTTTATTAATTTAAATAATTTAATTAAAAATATTTTATGTATAAAAATAAATAAAATATTTTAATAAAAATAAAGTGGAGGCAATGGTGGCAGCCTGGCATGGGTACAGGCCCGAAGAGGCTTTTTCAGACACAGATGCCGTGGTCATGGCTGACAATTGTTAGTGGCTCTAATATCAATGCTAAGCCATGGAGAAAAAACATATCTGAAATATCAATTCATTTCTTGCTCATGATTATTTTACAATGAGAGAAGCACAGTGATGATGACAAGTGTAAATCATACAAAAAAAAAAAAATTCTAGGACAAACTTTTTTCATTGATAAAACTATCAGTATCTGGCTAATTCAGGACTTGGGCTTAGCTACCACTTTTGGGCTTCATGGTGATAGATCCTTCAACACTATGCTGGGGTTTTATTCTGGGCTTTGCCCTACTTGTCAGCAAAAACGCGCTAAGCTAGGGTTTTATTCTCTCTCAGTGCACTGTTCTTTTGCTTCTTCCCCTTTCGTCCATCGTCTCAAATGGTTTCTTTCAGGGTAATGCACTGCTGGTTCTATGTCATTTTATGCTATGGGTTTCAGATTTTCTTTTTGATTGTTTCCTTCCGAGGAACGAGTTGGTCATTTTCAATTCCTATTTTGTATTGTATTTGGTGAAAGTTTTTGAATTGCTTACAAAGAATGTTTGATTGTGCGGAAACAGTTTCACCAGTACCAGGTGGTGGGAAGGGCCCTTCCCACTGAGACAGATGAGCACCCCAAGATCTACCGTATGAAGCTTTGGGCCACCAATGAGGTCCGTGCGAAGTCCAAGTTCTGGTACGTTATAATCTTCTCATTGTACTGCCATCTGTTTGGATAAGGAGAAAATGCAGGAATGAAAAGGCAATTCCCATATTAAAACTTCGATAAATTCACGTGTTGGTTTCTGAAAGATGTTAAATGATTTTTGTTTTATCCTGAATCAAACATACTCTATAGCTTAGCCGTCAATTTCTCTAATTTTTGTTCAATTTTGTCCTTTTGTTGGCTTGGAAAAGGAATAAGTTGACCCCGGATCAAGAAAAATCGAGGATTTGATAATACATTATGTTGTTTCAGGGACAAAGCTCAGATCATTCATAATTTTCAGGACCGAAGTTTAAATTTAGTAAATTTTCTTGTGGTATATATGTGAATAATTTAGAAAATGGTAAATTCTGCATCCTGTGCTGAAAAAAGATGCCTGGAATCAAAATTTTACGGCCCCAGAAATTTGTATGTTAAACTATAAATTCAACTGTCTAGAATAATATTTTGACTTTTATTGGATTTGTTGATGCTAAATCGATTAGGTATCATCATTTCAAATTAATGACGTAAATAGTGTCTGATTTCCCTCCCCTACAATTCTCTGGTGACTGCATTATCCCGTCCATCCCTTTGGATATGAAATAACAAAGTTCCTTGTTTAAATTCATTATATTAAATAATTGCATGTTTTTAATGTCTATAAAAATAACATCAGGTGTTTTTCTTTTGTTTTTAATTATGTAGGTATTTCTTGAGAAAGCTGAAGAAGGTTAAGAAAAGCAATGGGCAAGTGCTAGCCATTAACGAGGTATGAAATGTCCTTCTCGGCTCTTACAATCCCTTGACATTACTAGACTCATTCTGGTATTCTACAAGTAAAATGAGTTTCATTGAGCATTGGTTTTGAATTGGAAAGATGCTTAGGACAGTGGAATATCCATTTGGGAGAAAATCATGGGGGGAGATATAAAATTATAAGAGTTGTGAAGAGAGGGGTTTCAAGCATGGATCCGGTTTAAATATTGGTAGTTCACTTCAACGTATAAGCCAATAATTTTCACGTTTTCTTGTGGTGAGAAATTGTATGATCTATACAGCTATAGGAAAATTTGGGCTGTGGACATTGGAGGTGGAAGAATTTGAAGCCAGGATTCAGGACAGTGGCTGAACGGCTGCACTTTTTTTTTTTCGGTCACCTAATAGTCTCATGTGCTAATCTCTTGAAACTCATGCATTCTGTAGATACATATTGGAAATAATACATTTTGGAGATTCTTGAGTTGACTTGCAAAAATTATGTGCGTCAAACCAATCATAAAGAAATGCATAGGTGTGTCAGGCACTTTTTTGAGAAGGACCTGCCCTTGACATGCCTGTATGTCTCTTCATGATTGGTTTAGCCTACCTATTCGTTTATAGACTTGGTCAACCTTAGAATCTTTATACTTTTTTTGTTTTGGGATGGGGTGGGATTGTTTCCAAATTTGTGGCTTCAGTTGTATTTCAGCTTCATCTGTCATCTTCTCAGATTAGGTAACTTGCTTTTAATATTTGATGACTGACAGATTTTTGAGAAGAACCCTACCAAGATTAAGAACTACGGTATTTGGCTGCGTTATCAAAGTCGAACTGGTTATCATAACATGTACAAGGAATACCGAGATACCACTCTTAATGGTGCCGTTGAACAGATGTACAATGAAATGGCATCACGTCACCGGGTGAGGTTTCCATGCATCCAGATCATCAAGACAGCCACCATCCCTGCAAAGCTGTGCAAAAGAGAGAGCACCAAGCAGTTCCACAATTCTAAAATTAAGTTCCCATTGGTGTTCAGGAAGGTCAGGCCACCAAGTAGGAAGCTGAAGACAACTTACAAGGCATCAAGGCCCAACTTGTTTATGTGATTCTGATAATCACACTCCTTGCTTATCATTTCGAATCTGTTTGATTTATTAAGAGACTTTGGAAGAGCTAGAGAAGCTAATCGTGCTTAAACTGCATAGTTTCTGGTTGAGTATTTTAGTTTTGGAGAGTTGATTTCACATGTGGCTGGTTCGCTTCAATTTGTTCTTGGCCGGTTTTGAATTTGGTGACAAATTTTGGCTTGCTTTGAGTTTTATTGCGGATTATCACTACTACCATGATGTTTTCCTTCTGGTCAAAAAATTGAATTTCCTTGGAAGTTCACGCTTAATAAGTGGATTTCCTTAGTTTCAAGCAATTCAGGACGCGTTATACTGGCAACAGCTGCTTCGTTTGTGCTTGGATTAGAGTTTGAAAAATTCAAGTTTTCACAGATTACAATTTGCAAATTGAAATTGGGGAAAGTTAATCACTGTAATTTATGTGTAGATACTTTATTTAAAAAATCACGTTTGCAAGAAACCAATGAAGAAGATCATGGTTTGGGATTAAAAGCAAGAAAAACTTAATCATTTTGGGACTAAAAGACATTTGGGCCTTCCGTTTGCAAGAAAAACTAAGAACATTTGATTAATTTTGCGGCAGTTAACTAATCCATCATGTTTCTTATTTAAGGTATTTTAGATTTTTTTTAGGTAGATTAAGAAAAAGTATTAGATTGCTTTATTTATATAAAAACACCTCAACATTCGAAAATATTTATTAATTAAAAAATCTCATCATGTCTCATTTAAGTTACAATAAAACTATTAAAATTGTACGAGTAAAAATGGAACATTTGATATTTTGATTATACATTTTATAATTTAGATTAGATTAGCTGTTATTTTTGAGAGTCCTGCCAATGCTAAGCCAAACAAGCCCAGTATCTAATGATCTTTCACCCCCATATTTGGGAGGATAAAATGAAGAAGGTACATAGAATACATATTTTTCTCAATTTTCCCTCAATTTTGGAGAGAATGGATCTCATAACTTCTGTCTTGTCTTCTCTTGATTTTTCTCTTCTTACTGGGGACACTTTCATACTCTGAAATTACTATTATTAGGATTGACAAGGTAACATACTTGATGAATGAAATGAAATAAAATATAGACAGTCTAAATTCAACTTAGATAGTCCTTGATGATTATCCGAAGGTTTTACACTTCCCTGTTGAATCAAAATATTTTAAATAAACTCATGATCAGTGAAGGACTGCTATAAGTATAAAACACACAATAAAAATCTAGAGAGAAGGGCAATAAAGTCTCAACCAAATTAATGATAATTAAGTTCTAAAGATAAATTATAAATATTAATTTAAAGTACAAACAATTATAAATATAAATTTAAATTACAAATTAATTGATATATTTATAATTTATATATTGTATTTATAATTGAAACTTTTAAAATTTATAACTCTTTTAAATCAATTCTTGCAACCAATTTTTTTAAAAAATTTATTGAGATTAATTGTTATTAATTTTTATTTGAATTTAACTGTCATCCTCCCACCTACTTACATGATGTGATCCGTATTAGATTTGAAAATATCGTGGAGCTCGAGATGATTTTCGAAAACGGGGCATTAAGAAAGAAAAAAAAAACAAAAAACAAAGGAACGAGTCAAACTTCGTCATGGGTTATGCATCGAAATGCAAAACCGAATTCACAGGTGGGGGTGGTTGGTGCTGGTGTTCTTCAGGCGTTTGAACTTGGCGGTAGGTGAACCTACTGAGATATGATTCCCTCTTTACAGTTCGTTGTACACGTATTTAGCTTCCTTACTTCCTTTTTGACATGCGCTATCAGCTATACATCGTAACCTCACCTACCTTCAACTTCTCTTCATCCTCCTCCGGTTTGGTAAGTTGGTTGTCATTTGTCAAGTCGCTCGTTCAATTTTATAATCTCATATTTACTTCATTGTTATCAATTCGATTCCGGTAATTGCTTAACTGTGCAGAGTAACATTTGATTTGAAATGGCGGTTAATGCTGCAAATCCGGATGAACAGGCAAGTGTTTATTGATTTCTCTTATTACTAATTTTCCTTGCGTGTTACCGATGTTATACTCTTTGGGGATAAATTAGTAACGGGGTTTTGTGATTATTTGAGTAATGGGTGACTGATTGAAGATTCCTGCTTTTGATATTGAAGGTTGTTCTTGGAGAAGAGGTTGATCATGTGAGATTGATCACTTTGAACCGACCTCGCCAATTAAATGCCATCTCACCTGAACTGGTAAGTCAAGAGGACTAAATTCCCTTCCTGGCTTTTGTCTGAAACGATATTCTTCTATCGAGCTTTCCACTTTCAGGTGGCATACTAATTTTTATTGCTAAAGTTGTCATGTCTTTTTTCCTTTCAAATGCTATCAGGTTTCGCTGGTAGCAACATATCTAGAAAAGTGGGAGAAAGATGATAAAGCAGAGCTTGTTATCATTAAGGTATTTTTCCCCCCAAATTCACGTGGGTTCTGAAAATTTTGTGTAATGCTACTCTTGCTCTTGGTTGTGTTGCTTTACTTATTTGCAATCACTAAATTGATCCGTAAAACTCGTTCAGGGAGCTGGTCGGGCTTTTTCTGCTGGTGGGGATTTGAAAGTGTTTTATGATGGCAGGAAGTCAAGTAAGTGCTTTGTTATCTGCTAGGATTTTGATGTTTCAGTATGGGGCACTAGTTACTTACTAGTACACAGACTTTCCCTCTTTCTTTTTAATGTGAAGAGTTAATTTGAGAGAAGCCAGTTAGAGTGCATATTTTCATTACCTAACCTCCATCGTAGCTGCTGCTGCTAATACTAATGAGTTTCTTCTGAACAGAGGATTCCTGCCTTGAGGTGGTCTACAGAATGTACTGGCTCTGCTATCACATTCATACCTATAAGAAAACCCAGGTTCCTTTCAGAATCTTCATCCCACTCTGTCCTTAAACGTTAACAAAAATTTGTGCTCGCAAAGTCTTATGTCTCGTAGAATGGTGCTGTTATGTTATAACAGGTTGCTCTTGTTCATGGAATTTCAATGGGTGGAGGCGCATCATTCATGGTGCCAATGAAATTTTCAGTTGTTACAGAAAAAACTGTGGGTGCTTAATCCTCGTTATATATTATTTCATATCCATTGCTAGGCTAGTTTTATGATTTAATTGTCAAATGGCATAGTGTCATGTTAAGTTTTTGTGATATCTTAAAACTGGTGATTTTATATAGGTGTTTGCGACTCCAGAGGCAAGTTTTGGGTTTCATACTGATTGTAGCTTCTCTTACATACATTCTCATCTACCTGGGCGATTGGGTAATCTCTAAAAATCTAATAAGTCCTTTACCTTGTTCTTCCCTTTCGCTATTTTAAATGACTTTTCTTATACTTCCATCTCACATACTGTATAATCTTCATGACAACAAAATTGTCTAGCTTTTCTTGAATTAGTATAAATTATTTGTAAAGGATGGAAATGAACTTGTACATGTAAATATGCAGGGGAATTCTTGGCACTGACTGGAGGACGGTTGAATGGGAAGGAATTAGTCACAGCTGGACTGGCAACCCATTTTGTCCCTTCTGAGGTCAGTTTATCTTCAATTATCTCTTTCATGTAATTACGTTAGTTGATGTACAACATTCATATGGGATATCTCTCAAATCCTGTTTCACGTTAGTTTAAGATCTAAGGATAAATACACACATGGGTTTCACTGTTCAACAGTTCAACCAATTCAGGAAGCATAATTTCTTTCTTTTTTCTTGATGGATGGAGAAGTTCTTGACTGATGCTTGTACTTGTGTCTCTATAGCAAGAATGATGAGAATGTATTAGTCCAAGTCCATAAATAAAGAATCATATTAAAGTTAATGGTTTATCATGGAATTGGTTTAACTATAATATGTTGATGACGGCAATATTCTCTTTGTATCAGAAACTTGCTGAGTTAGAGAAGCGCCTGATTAGCTTTAATTCTGGTGATGAGAATGCTGTGAGATCAGTAATTGAAGAATTTTCTTCAGAAGTTGAGCTTGATGAAGACAGCATCTTAAACAAGTAAAAAATTTTGATTGATAATGTGTGCGCGTGTGTATTTTCCTTTTTAATATTATCTTATTTCATTGTTAGTACCAGCACTGTACTCATGCTAGCAACATTTTGGGATTCTCAGGCAGTCGATAATAGATGAGTGCTTCTCAAAGGATACTGTTGAAGAAATTATTAAATCATTAGTAAGTTTCTTCCCCACTTATATCCTTTTTTCTTTGATTATGTAGGAGCGTTTTCTTTGATTACACAGAGCATTATGATATTTTTGCTTACCCATGCTCATTATATGGATGACTTGTGCTTTCTGAAGGAAGCTGAAGCAAGCAAAGAAGGAAATGGATGGATTGGTGCAATCCTCAAAGGAATGAAAAGGACATCACCTACTGCATTGAAGATAACCTTAAAATCGGTAAGGATGTTGGGATTTAAAATAATAAGATCATAGACTTGTGTTCTCGGACTTTTTGAGTTTTCTAAATTATGATCAATGGGGAGCTTCAAATTGTGAATTAGATATTTTTACTTCAAAAGAAAAAAAAAAATTGTCATGTGCGGCTTTTCCTTCCTAAACTTTTTTTATGATAATCCTCTTCTGACTGATAACATGCATAATTTGAAAACATAATCTTCCCTATATTTCTTTGGTTTTATTTATAAATTACTACAAACATGTTTTGAAAAATCTTAAAATTCATTAACTCTGTATGAAAATTTAACAAATTTTAACTTTCTCTATTAAATATATATACTTTAATAACATTTTTCTTACCAATATTTAATGGAGGTAAAATAGGAAATGTGTGATAAAAAATTTAGTGCATGACTTATAAATAAAACCAAAAAAAAAAAATATTTTTTCTCTACCTTGTAAACATGACTGGAGGGAGTACATGTTTCTTCAACTCATGCTGCTATTGCCCAACTTCCATGAATGCAGATTCGTGAAGGAAGGAATCAGAAGCTATCTGAATGTCTAAAGAAGGAATTTAGATTGACGATGAATATACTACGAACCACAATATCTGAGGATATGTATGAGGTAAATCTTGTTCTCATTGCTCACTAGAATCGGCAAAAGGAAACTTTGCTCAATTTATTTTGAAGGGGGAACAAAATTGCCAAATGGATTTCCTACTAAACGCGATGCAAACTTCTCTTGTCTCTTGATGAACAGGGCATTAGAGCTCTCACCATTGACAAGGATAATGCCCCAAAGGTATTCTTTCGCTCTCCCAGTCTGTGTGTGCATCCTTCCCCTTCTAGAACTACTTGCAAGGTTCTTCGAATCTTATTGGTTTCAGCTTAATTGAGATATTTATTGCATAAACTGGGTGAGAACCGGCATTTCGTTAGTCCTACATGATGTTACTTGCTTTTTACATGAATTTTTTTACCCCGAAGTTGCTTATATTCAAAGATGAGAAGATGCAGAGTAAAATAAGCACATCTGGGGTTTCCTTTATCACAATTTATATTTTAATACCAATAATCTCATAAAGACAAACTTATTACTAATATCAAACTTATCATTTGATACATCGAAGTCGAAATAGTAAAGCCGTTATATCCTATCCTTACAGATATGAGCCTAAGTCAAATCCGAAGACCTTTTTGTACTATTGTGCATAGTTAATTTGAGAAAAGATACACACGCACGCACATTATTTTTGTGTGTTCACTCTTTGATTATAAACTATCAACTTGTTTCAGTGGCAACCTCCAGCACTTGAAGAAGTAGATGATGGGAAGGTGGACTTGGTCTTTAAGCCTTTTGAAAAGGATTTTGAGCTGCAGATCCCAGAAAAAGAGGAATGCAGGTTGGGTATATTTTGAGCGACGACGATTTGTTTCTGTGGCTTTATTATTCAGAAACATAATCAAATGAGTTTCTCTGATTGAATACAGATGGGAAGGTAAATATGAGAATTCAGCTTATGCAGCCTAAGACAACAGGAGCAGAACATGAAGAATCTCTGGTTAGATGCCGTTTCTGAAGGCCTTTGAAAATTTGGCTCGGATTCTTATGAGCACAGTGGTGTATATTTATCCTAGCCAATCCACTCACTTATGGTTGATGCTTTTATGTAATTTAGAATTAGAATAAAATGAATGCGTGAGTTCATGAGTTATGAAGAACTGCCCACTTTGAAGTTCTTAATCCTTTTAATCTCAATGACAAGCAAATAGGTAAATCCCACTATAGAGTGTAGAAATCCTGATATGCACTTGTGTGCGTGTGCCATAGAGAATATAAATATACAACAAATAAGGATTTTGAGTCTATAATTTGTTTTGGTTTTAAGAAAAAGTCCATAATTTGAATTCAAATGGACATGAGTTGGTTTCGTTTCTTTAATTTCCAGAAATTGCATGGTGAAAATGGATGTTATGCTCATTTTAGGGTGTTTTTATTTGATATTTTATTTTATTTTAATAGAAACAAATCACAGCATAAATAATTGTTGACATAGAAATTGATAATCTAAATTAAGACCTTAAAAAAAATTTAAAATTTAAAAACCAACTATATATAGATAGAACGCATTTGTCTCTAAAACAAGGAAAGGATAGGATTCAACATAAAAGATAAAACATACGATAAGATCTCCAATTCTGTCCTTATTTGAGTTTTCACAACTACGAAATTGCAAATTTATGCAAATTAATTTAATTTACCTTTGAATTAATTGGCACCTGTTTGGCTAAGCAAAATAATAATCCAAACACCCCCTCTTTTCCACAACCACATTTGCGTTTCTCTAGCCGTCGGAGCATTAATTGCAAGTCAGAAAATGACAATTAAGTCGGTGATAAGGAAGTTAATACTATTTAAGTTCCAAATTTGTCCCTCCTTTTTTATGAACTAGTGATTTTTGTTTAATACAGTGAAATTATAAAACATTTGAGGTGCCATTTTTGACACTGGTAAAATATCCAAAATGCCGTTTGACCACTAGTGTCAGTTATAGAATAAGTTGTCTTTGCTTTTATCAACTCTAACGGTTTTGAAACTAAAATTTTTATTGATAGACAAATTTTTGCATCATGCTATCAATAGCCATATATCCTTGAAATTAACGAAGAGTTCTCGAGTTAGAATTCACCCTTCCCCATTCTTGTCAACCATGCTAATTAGTATTAGCTTCTTTATATAGGGACTTAGTTGTCATTTTTCCGGCATATTTTGAATAAACATAAAGAGTAGGCTTCTCTGATAACATAAATTATCTTTCCTGAAATATAGAGTAAAACTATTTCATTTTCAAATATAGAGAAACCATCATATATCTATTTTTATTTTAACAAAACCATAAATTTCAAAAAAAAAAACTCACATCTTTCCCAATTGTCCTGTTAAAGTCATATTTATTTTCACTAGATAAATTTGTTTTAACAAATTCCAGAGATAACTAAGTCCAATTTTTTTTAATTTCAAACATAACTATTATACTCAATTACTTTCCCTAAACTTTATGAATTAATTATTTTATTCTATATTTGAAAATGGAAGGAGTAAACCTCTTCCAAGTTCCAACCAAGTTGTAACACATAAAAGTTGAAATTCGGAAACCCCAGCTCATGAAAATAAAAGAATTCTCCAAGAACTTATCACTGATCAATTTACAATAACCAAACCCAACTGTTAACACTTCTCATTCACAACTGTATTGGTCGCTAGTTGCCCCTAAAAAAAAAATTACAGAATAGACTCTTGGAACTTCTCGAGGATGATGAGAAAACAATATAGAGCATTTCGACTCATTTGCCACTCACTACTGTCAGATAATTTCATTTTCGAAGGGAATATACATAGAATCAAAACCAAATAGTAGATATAAGTAGGGAACTGGTAGACAGACAGAAAAACATAAAAACCTGAGAAAAGAAAATCATGAGACACCCTGGAAAGACAGCCGATCTCGGAGAGTATCAAATATTGATGACGCTGCTGCATTTTGTGAAAAAGTCAATTTCAAACGACCGAGTAATTCACCATCTTTAGCCTGAGAAGCAGCATCCGCAGCTTCCTTCGCCATGCCGATTCGCGCATATGACTGTCCAAGATTACAGAAAGGATTAAGCAAAACTGCTGCGCGTACATAACTTGCCTATGGACAAAATCATAACAAAACTCTATATCATTGCAAGCAAAAGCTCTAATATTTGTGCCAAAATCTCTTCTTCCATGATGTTCATGAACTAGAGTCGGGAACACAACAATGCACAGTAGCAGGAACTAGTTTTCTATTATCCGGGGCAATTTGCAGTCACTTTTTAAGGCTAGTAATGTCATATGATAGTGAATGTTAGGTGATGACAGAACAACAAGAGCATAAGTTTCGCTCATATTTTATGTCTATGACGCCCAGGTGACTTTTATTTGTGGTACTGGTATAAGTTTTGCTTTTCCCTCTTTCACAAATCTGGTAATAATATTAATTGAGCTCAAGTTTCATTAAAATTTTATATTACCATCTGTGCACAGTGCACGTGTAGTGGATTTGACAACTAAGACACATGATTATTGAAAGCAGGCGCAAATGCAAAATATGAAACCCAATATTCTGCCTCTAGTTTGCACAACAGTCAAACCATGGTATGAAAATTATGAGTGGCACCTCATATTCAATGAATCTATAAAATAACCCGCTCTTTCTCAAGGGTAATTGTACGTAATAATAATATAGTTGCATCCCATATTCAATGCATCTATAAAATACCTCAGCCCTTTCTCGAGGATCTGCAAGTTTTGGGATATATTTCAAAGCTTCCGCCTTTTCTTCTGCTTCAATGCATGCCTCCACAAACGGCCTGTAACCTACAGATCCCAATATGTGAACTTCAGAGCAGCAATCATGCATTATCCAGTAGCGAAAATCTATGCAATGATTATTTTGTAATGATTGTGAAGAAAAGAGGTTGCAAACAAGAGACCTTTAAAAACTAAAATAATATAAATATAATAATATATTAAAAATTAGAAAATCTATCAACAACCTCTTTTAGTTCACTTGTCACATTCTACCAAATTACTGATAAGAACTAGGAACAAGAGAGAAACATGGCAAAAGCTGTAGATTATTACATGATAGAGAACAATTTTGGCCAGCCCACTTAAGCATTTCAGTACATTAACAAATTCACAATTGGAAACAGAGGATGGAGAACAGAAATGGGTGTCGGAACAATGAGTTGCAACACTGGATAAGATATCCTCCAAGAGGTAACGGTCAATACCAATCTGTAATCAGTAAAAGATCCTCACCATCTATCCCATTCAAATTAAGAAAATCTCACAAAGGTGATAAGAATCTAGAGTTGATGCTCACAAAATAAGTTCATTTAATTCCCTCAAAATTAACTAGGAGTACAAAAGCTTACCAATCGGAGGTTTCTTCTCCTTCGAAAACTTTTCCAGTGCAGCCCAATCTTTGATGGTAGCTAAAGCAAAAACTTTCAGCCAATACCATCTCTTCTCAGACACCTGAGGTAATATAACAACAGAAATTTTATGAGTGCCTTAGAAACCAAAAGTTTAGTCCCGCACGGTATGAGAAAACAATAATTGCTCACATTTCATTTACATTATTCAATTAGTAGGCCATTAAAATATAGTTAGAAAGAACCACCTTAAGGCTAGCTCAAGTGATAAGGGTGGAATGGGGTATACATAATGTTAATAATTCTGATCCTCTTGATGTAACAAGAAAAACATAGATTGAAAGAGGCACAAAAGAAACCTCTCTTTCCATTCAAGAGATACGATGAAGGAGCAAGTTAATAACTAACCTTAAATTCTGTTTTTACTTTCATTGCAGCTCGATGATTTCCCAATACAATACATGTACGGATTGTATCACTTATACTTGAATCTACAAATATGGCTTGCTTTGTGGTCACTTCTAATTCATGTTGTATTCTGCAGTGCGGTAACAGCATCAGAATTTCCATTTTAATCTTATTAAATGATATTTATAGCCATGTAACAAGGACACATCCTCCTAAAATCGGAATCACTGTCTGAAAATAAAATATGAATTATCACATAAACACACCAGAATATGCAGTATATTGCAGCCTACTACAAATGCAGATATTGAGAAGATTTATATAACCTAAATATAAGTAATAATCACACCTTAACAGTTTGCATGCTCTTCAGCTGCCTTCGATTCAAAAACATGTTCCTTTGTTTCTGCAAAGAGATTTTGTGCCTTCTCAATCAGTTTTATACGAGGACCATGAAGGGGAGACCCTTTGCTTGCCATGGGGTTTTTGTCTAGTTCCCATGATTCTTTCCACAGCAGAAAAGCCACATCCTACAAGGACTTATTTCTACATGAATTTCTAGTATCTAAATGGAAATCTTGCAGTCAGCTAGATATTGTGATAGAAGGATTTACTTCACTAGCATTGCATGCATTTAACAAGACAAGCAACAATGATTATAAAACTTCAGATACAGTAATAAATCAATAATGAGAACATTAGGCAGAGTCATGTAGACCAGAGCCTTATTGAGTCTCAAAGTAAAAGGCATATATAATAAAGGAAAAAAAGGAACAAAGAAGAGCTTAAAACTCAGATGGACAGAAAATGTTCGCATACAGATTATCAACTCCATATATATAAGGTTTGCAATATTGCATGAATAGAAGACAAGGTAAAATTTCATGGTTCAAAAAATACCGTCCAAGCAACACAACCTATGACAAATACATCATGTTCCATTTTATCTAATTTGAAATTATTCATATAATTTCCCGAGATAATAACTTACTTGAAGTTGTCCTGTTGATAGGTAGAAGTCCTTCAGAAATTCGTGTTTATAGTACCTGGAATAAAAATATAATTAGCATTGCTACAATGATACACATTTAGAAGAAAATTCATTATTTTAAAGCACGTATTTTTAATTTGGTTATTGAAACCAGAAAAAAAAAAATGAATCTATAGAGTTAAGTATGTGCTGTGCATCAATATTCTCTTCATTACATGCACGAAGGTTCATCTTTTAGTTAATTTGGCCTTGCATCTGTCATTTGTCCTCATGTAGATTAATCTTCAGGGATATCCTTGGATGGAATTCTGTGAGAAAAACAATGCCTTCCATGCTTGTGGTTCATTGATGCCAGCATGCATTGAGTTCTCATTTTTTTATCAAAATTTTTTTCATATCAGCTCATAAGCACAATCCCT